AGAGCGTGGGGCCTGGTGCGGGAGGGCGGGCGGGACTCGTGGTTCCCGCGTACTGAGAGCCTGCCAGGGCCTCTCACTAGCTCAGCCAGCAGACACCTGTTTCGCGGGCGGCGGGGAAGCCGAGACACTGGTTTCCATAACCCTCCCGAGTGGCGGGGGACGACCTCCCCTGGGAGACGCAAGCCTGCTCAGGTGTGGGAGAGAGGGGCCGGGGGGCAGAATCTGCACCTGGGGCGTTGCACCCCCCTGAGGGGCTGCAGGCCTGGGGGCTGCGCGGTGAAGGAGGGCACTGGCCCTTGTTTGGCCCCGGGTGCCAGGCCGCCTGCATGCTTTAGAGATGGCAAGAACTTCGCACGGGCATCCTTCGAGGCAGGGCACGGTATCTCATCTGTGGGACCCAGAGAGATAACACGTTTGGCCCAGATTATACAGAGATTATGGTGGCAATAGGAACGGAGGAAGGCGGGAAAGCAAGGTGCTTCTTCTGAGTGTTGGGAACCATTGTGCTACTGTGCTGTGTCGTCTGCCCGTGCGGATGCAGCCCTCGATTGCCACTGCTGTGCAAGCTTTCTCATGGAACCCTTCCTTTACCATGGTTCTGGCACCTGCCCACTTCCCTCCGCCCCTCCGACCACTGTCCTCTGCACTGCTGAAGTGGTTGCCTCAGAGGGTCTTTTCGCTCCCACGATTGCCCTCCTACAGGGTTTTCTACTCTCACATAGCAGCCAGAGCGGCTTTTTGAATATTAGAAATCAGATCATTCCTTGTTATGGCCTACAAAGCTCTGTAGACTCATCCCTGCCGCCTCTACTTCTCTCCCTTATTTTATTTCTCGTGCTTTTCTTCTCCCAATCACTACGCCGCAGCCACACTAGTCTTGTTTTGGTGTCTCAAATATGCAAGACCTTTTCCTGAGTGAAGGCCATCGGACTTGTTGTCCCGTCTCCTTCGAATGAACTTCCTACAACCGTTAAGCTAGCTGATGCTTTTCTTCAGATCCCAGCTCCAATGCCATCTCCTCAGAAACCCTCCCTAAACACCGTAGTTCTCAACTGGGGACAGTTCTGCCCTTTAAGGGACTTGGGGAATGTCTGGAGACATTCTGGGGTGTCACAGGCGGGAGGGTGCTACAGGTGTGTGTAGTAGGTAGAGACAAGAGATGCTGTATACATGGTACAACGCACAGGACAGCTCCCTACAGTAATCATCCGGCCCATAAATGTCAATAGCGCTGTTAAGAAGTAAACATTGCATTATCCAAAGTTAGGCCAGTTACTCTGATGTGTCCATCATCTTGCTTGTTTGTTTTGTTTTTTTGAGACAGAATCTCCCTCTTTTGTTCAGGCTGGGGAGCAGTAGCGCAATCTTGGCTCACTGCAACCTCCGCCTCCTGGGTTCAAGTGATTCTTCTCCTCTCCTGAGTATCTGGGATTACAGGCGTGTGCTACCATGCCCGGCTAGTTTTTGTATTTTTAGTAAAGACGGGTTTCACCATATTGGTCAGGCTGGTCTCAGAACTCCTGACCTCATGATCCGCCCGCCTTGGCCTCCCAAAGTGCTGGGATTACAGGCGTGAACCACCGCGCCCGGCATCTTGCTTTCATAAAAACCAATTTTTACTGCAAACAATTTCCTCATTTTTTTTTGTGAAGACAAACAAATACATTCTTTAAAACATTAATGGCAAGAGTGTGTTTGATAAGCCAATTTTAGGTACTTTTGTCACCAATAAAAGAAACTGTGTGAGATTTGTGGATCCACTTCACTAGAGATTGGTTAATCTGCTTCGCTGTAGTAACCCTTTTACTGCCCATATGTATCCCATAACATTGTGTTGTAAAACTCATATATGCAATAAAATTTATTTTTAAAGTAAAAACAAAAAACAAAAAAAACTATCTTAACAAAAGAAAAGGTACATGTTCTTGGTTGGGAAGACTTAATAACATAGGAATATCACCTCTCCTACAAATAATATTAACTTTAATACATTTTATAAAAAATTTACTTTATTTTTTGAGACTGAGTTTTGCTCTTGTCATCCAGGCTGGAGTGCAGTGGCGCAATCAGCTCACTGCAACCTCCGCCTCCCGGGTTCAAGCGATTCTCCTGCCTCAGCCTCCCGAGTAGCTGAGATTACAGGCATGCGCCACCACACCCAGCTAATTTTTGTATTTTTAGTAGAGATGGGGTTTCACCATGTTGGCCAGGCTGGTCTCAAACTCCTGACCTCAGGTGATCCGCCCACCTTGGCCTCCCAAAGTGCTGGGATTACAGGCGTGAGCCACTGTGCTTAGCCTTTACAATCTTACATTATTTTGTTTGCTTACTGATTTATTATCTATTTCCTACATGTGGAAAAGATGCTTATCTATTTTGTTTTGTGGACTTTTTTTATTTTTAATTTTTTTCAGAGACAAGGTCTCACTATGTTGCTTAGGCTGGTCTTGGATTCCTGGTCTCAAGCGATCCTCCTTTCTCAGCCTCCCAAAATGATGAGGATTATAGGCATGAGCCACCATGCCCAGCCTGTTGTGTGAATTTTTTTTTTTTTTTCAAGTCATACCGACTTTCTGGGTTTATTTTCCTTTCCATTTTATTGTGCCTGTATGTATTATGCCTCTTCTCCCATTGTATCCAGTTCCTCTGTCTCTTTTTTTTTTTTACCTTTTTTTTTTTTGAGATGGAGTCTCAAGAAAAACAACCACTGTTTCCTGGGTTCAAGCAGTTCTGCCTCAGCCTCCCGAGTAGCTGGGATTACAGGCACTCACCACCATGCCCGGGTAATTTTTTTGTATATTTAGTAGAGATGGGGTTTTACCATGTTCGCCAGGCTAGTCTTGAACTCCTGACCTCAAGTGATCTGCCCGCCTCGGCCTCCCAAAGTGCCGGGATTACAGGCGTGAGCCACCGCACCCAGCCTTTTTTGAACTTCTATTAGATATATGTTGGTACATTGTCTTCCATGTTTCTTTACCACTCTTTAATATTTTTCTGCAACACAGCAAAAAAAAACCCATAGGCCAATATCCCTAATGAACATAGATTAAAAAATCCTCAATAAAAATAGTATCAAACCGAATTTAGTGGCACATTAAAAATATCATTGACTGGCCAGGTGTGGTGGCTCACGCCTGTAATCCTAGCACTTTGGGAGGCTGAGGTGGGTGGATCACAAGGTCAGGAGTTTGAGACCAGCCTGGCCAAGATGGTGAAACCCCATCTCTACTAAAAATATAAAAATTATCCGGGCTTGGGCCGGGCGCGGTGGCTCACGCCTTAATTCCAGCACTTTGGGAGGCCGAGATGGGCGGATCACAAGGTCAGGAGATCGAGACCATCCTGACTAACACGGTGAAACCCCGTCTCTACTAAAAATACAAAA